ATTATAAAAATAATCGTTTGTGGCAGTAATATTTAGCAAAAGTTATGTTTGGCATCTCATCTGTTTTTTTTCTGTTTGAACAGAACACACCGAGCTTTACTATAGCTGCATTTTCTCTATCAAGAATAGTACAAACACTGCTGCTGTGCACGTGATTGTTACATAATGTACCAAACTGTGGCATGAATGAGGCGAAATGGAGTCTTTTAAGTGAAAATCACCTTTATTATTCATGGTTTAGATGTAGTCAGGTGCTTACTGAAGGCCTGTCCCTGACAGCAAAGATGTGTTGATGCAGAACAGAAAGTGGAGCAAAGGGTTTGGATAAAAACATGACTGAAACAGAGGATTACTTGAATGATTGCACGTCTACCCAACTGCCCTGCAAGCCAAAGGTTCTGACAAAAAATCTTTCACAAATTGTGAGAATGTGTTGACTCTGCTAATACCACACCAAAGTTTAGCTTCATATTTGTATAACTGGCTGAGTTGCAACTATATTTTATTTAGATATTTTTGTTTAAGCTTGATTAACTGCTGCAGCTATCTTGAATTCCCTTCAAAATGGAATAATTCACACTCAAAAAACAGATGTAGTGCATTTAATTAAAAGAATTAGATCAACTGGTTCCACTTAACTGAACTGAGTTTACTAAATTGAGTGGAACCAGCTTAGTTTTCTTTTCATTAAATCCATTATATCTATTTTTTGACTGTTGTTTATTAAAACCCACCAAATGGTTTATGAGATATTTTCATAACAGACCTCAGACACAGACACATTATTTTCCACCTTTCATGACAGCAGGCTATAAAAAACCTAAATGCACCAAAAACGTTCCTGCTAAATATTATTACTCTTAACTCGCTTTTAGTTTGACGCAGACAGAAAATAGATGAGAATGGAAATAAGAATTGATTGGTCTAATTTAGTAAAATAAAAAGTAACTAAGTGCAGCTTAGAAAAATCCTGCTTGTCGTTTGTAGGGGTGTAAGAAAATATCGATACACTGAAATATTGCGATATTTCATTTCCCGATACTGTATCGATATTCTAAAGCCCTGTATCGATTTTTTATTACATTTTTATGTTGTAGTTCAGCCTCTGGCCACTAGTTGGCAGCAGTGAGCCAGCCATTTGGCTCCTCTACCTCCTGAGGTAGAAGC